CACACACACACACACACACACACACAGAGTCAAATTAACATTGAAGCACACTCACACATACATATGAATTACTGATATTAACTTTTCAGTGATGGAAGATTATTGTAGAAATTGTGGACAATGTTGAATGCTTTTATTCATGTTCATGAACTGATTGACACTTCCCTTGGTTTGTGGTTTTTTTGTTTTTTTTTCCAGTTTGACGTCTATCAATTTGAGCAATTGCCATTTGACGTTTGTGTCAGCTTACATCTTCACTCTTCCTAACTTGGAGAAACTGAATCTTTCTCACAACTATCTGGAGTCTCTCGTAGACCGCAGTAAGTGTCTGCAAGAATTTAATGGCTATTATTTTAATTCTATCGCATATTTTGATGGATGTCATGGCCTTCTTTTCAGTTTGAAATGTCGGACCTGCATTTATTTTGTGTGTCCTTCCTATCTGGTTTGTCGTGGGAATGTGTGATGTCAGGGGACATGACTCTTATTATTATTATGGGACAGTATAATTAAGGGAGAGTAGCACGCCTTTGATCGTGTGACATTCGAGAAGCGGGAAATAGGCCGGGAGACTTCTGACACACCACTCGGAGTATTTCAGCTCGCTGACGATTTCTTCGGCTCTCTAGGCATGATCAGAATGCTCGACTTTGATCGTGTAATGTAATGTTGGATTTCTCTGAAATTGATCAATTGTATGGTGCTGTGTATTTATTTCTTTTGAATAAGAACAATGAAGGGTGATTTATTTTTCTATCTTTTGCTTATCATTTCCGCTATTATTGATGTGGTAAAAAAGGGGTTGAGAGAAGAAGAAAAACTGAGTTGGACTGATATTTTTTCTGAATATACGTTTCTTGATTCGATTCTTTGCCGTAGGTGGTTTGTGGGTGCTCTGGTGTGGTTTGCTCCTTCTTTCCTATCAAACATCTATCGTCCTTATCTCCCCTCCTTCTCCGCCTCCGAACAGAACATATACAGCTCAACTTTCCCTTGAACAGAATAAAACCAGAACTTCCCCCAACATCACCTTTTCCACTGCACAGCCCTAAATGACATCAGAGCTACCCTTCTCCCTCCGAGACCTAACTTCGACAACACACTCTACGGAACATTACAGCAACTGCAGCAAACCTGCACTTATCACTACATGGCATTGGACAGAAGGGCGAGAGCCCAGATGTTGCTGGATCGATAACAACAACAACAACAACATCTCCCCTCCTTCTTTTTTATGTTTGTTACTCTCTTGTAACACCTCTAATCTTCTGGCGCTCATATAACCTTATGCAGTTGTGAGCGCCGTAAAACCTCTACAAAACAAATCTGAAATGAATCAATTGTATGGGGCTGTGTACTTATTTCTTTTGAATGAGAACAACGAAGGGTGAATTATTTTTCTATCCTTTGCTAAGGATTCTTTGCCAACACTAGCCTCCTATTTGGTAAGCTACTTTAGAACTTACCAACCTCCTCGTGTTCGCGTTCTTTGAGCTTTGTGGGGAAAAGAAAATTAAATTCTGATTGTGGGCAATTGGTGGGTGCTCTGGTGTGATTTGCTGCTTTTTTTTTACCAAATGTCCATTGTCCTTACTTTTCCTTATTACTTTTTTTCACTTTTTTATCTTCTTTTGCCATGTCGAGGAAATGCGGTTTTTTAAAACTTGGGCTGAATTCTGCAGCTTTTTCAATTGAGGTGTTGTAGTTTCCCGGAGTTCCTTTGGTTACTCTCTTGTAACACCTCTAATCTTCACCAGTTATATATAATAATAATAATAATGATAATAATAATAATAATAATGGTAATAATAATAATAATTTGAATAATGATAATAATAATAATAACAATAATGGTAATAATAATAATTCTTATAATGATAATAATAAATAGCATTTGTATAGTGCATATCCCCGCTCGACAGCAAGCTGTATGCGCTTTACACTATCTATATTACACTTATATGACGTATTTATGTTGCAAGTGCCATAAACCTTTTGCACCCCCCCCCCCCCTCCCGGTGGGCGGTGCCACTGACTGAAGTGTCTTTAGGCCATTCCCAAAGGGGGGGCATTTCTCGTTCTTATGCACAGTAGAATTGTAAATGGGCTGATTCAACCATGTCATGCTCATAACTGTGCCTGAACTACAACAGGGAACTGCTGCTTTTTCTTTCCTAATCCTTACTAACGTCATTTTTTTTCCTCTACTTCTTTTGTATGTTTGTCACACTCTTGTGACCCGCTATTTCCGGGGTGCCTTGATAGTCGAAACAGACTTTGTGCTGTTGAAGCTAGAGAGGGGAGCAGAGTAAGCCTGATTCCCTGTAAGGACTTCTCTGTTGACACCCACTTTTTGGCGCTCATATAGCCTTATGCGAGCGCTGTAAAACCTCTACTAGATAAAAAATAATTTAGAATCTCTTGCTAAGACTAAGAAGAAAAAAAATTCTGAAAGCTGACATCAGATTTGACATACTATTTTCACTACATCTTGTCGTTCGTGATCTATTTTTATTTGAATTACTGTGGAGAAACAATTGGTGTATCTAAGTCACCTCATCTTGGATAGACTCTAGCACTGCAGTTTTTATGGTCCTGGCTGGACAGGGTTAACCCTATCCGTACGCCCTGGGGTCATTTTGTAACCCCGGGGTTGTATTCTTCACATTTTAGAATACTTCTAGTGTGAAGATTTCTTTGAAACTTTCAGTATTTCTCAAAAAATCAATTTGACAGACTGCTATGCAAAGCGTACAGATCAGATTAACGAGTAAATTTCATCTATGGAAAGTGGTGGCACAGAGTTCCCCACATCGTATGGATGTGATAGTAAAACACGAAGTACGGATAGGGTTAAAGCTCAAACCTCGTCATATTGATATTTTCTAAGTGTTTTTCATCTGTAAAAAGGCATCATATCCCCATAATCAAAATAGTTCATTGACGTTTCAAGTGAAGGAGAAGGTAGAAGTGAATATTTGTTCAGTTTATCCCATAATTTTGATTTGCCACCTTGACTTTTTCTTTAACCCCCGGGGTGGTGCTACTGACTGAAGTGTCTTACTCTTATGACCCGCTATTTCTGGGGTGCCTTGATAGTCAAAGCAGACTTTGTGCTGTTGAGGCTAGAGAGGTGAGCAGAGTAAGTCTGATTCCCTGTAAGGACTTTTCTATTGATGCCCACCCCTTGGCGCTCATATGACCTTATACGGTTGCGAGCGCTGTTAACCTCAACTAAAACTAAACTAAACTTTTTTCTTTATTATACCTTTTCAGCCCAAACTGGAGTCGAGTGGAAATGTGGACGCCTGCTGTCCTTGGATATATCTCACAATTCGCTCGGCAGTCTTCCCGCTCAGTTTGGTGCGTGTGGCAGTTTGAAATCTCTGAAAGCCTCGCACAACAAATTGACTGAAATCTGTTCTCCATGGCAGTGCCCAATGGTGAGTCGTAAAACTTATCATGTGACAACTGCATTGATCTTGTTTGAGAAAGTCTGAGTGGGTGGTTGGTGGGTGCTCTAGTGTGGTTTGCTCCTTCTTTCCAATCCAACGTCTATCGTCCTTATCTCTCCTCCTTCTTTTTTGTGTTTGTTTCTCTCTTGTAGCACCTCTAATCTTCGGCACTTATATGACCTTATTGTGTTGCAAGTGCCGTAAAACTCTTACATGCTGCTGGCAATCGATTCGACCTGATTCCAGCACACATATCAAGGGAGATCACTGCAATAGCTTCCAAAGTGAGAAGAAATGGGTCAGTCATGTGACCACCCACGCCTATTCATGTTTTCTTCACGCACAAGAGTCACAGCCACTTGACCTCATTAACTGCCGTGGTTCGGCACATCGACTCTATACTCTAAAAACAAAATGGCTTCGCGAAATATCACTTTCGGCACTTACGAGACTTCTGCTGTGGAGAGCAGCTACGCTGATTTGTTTCATTTCTCAGTGGAATAATCTAAAGGGCCAAAGAAAGATGAGAACTTTTTGTCAAATATATTTGTCTAAATTCAGGAAATGAATAAATAAAACATCGGGCACCGTCATGGGGACATATCTATCTTTTTGCAGGTACTTGCCAACTTTCAACTCTGTAGCTGTCGTAGTTTTATGGGAAAAGTGAGACACGTTTTTCCAAGTTGCCAAATATTGTGTTATATTTCACTTCAGAAACACCTTGACCTTTGTCACAACTATCTGGAGTCGTTCCCACCCAGCGCGGACCAGTTTTGGAGCAGAACTTTGAACAACCTGGATCTGAGTCATAATCATTTGAAAGAGTTGGCAGCTAGCATTGTCAGGCTGTGTAAGTGTTGAGATCATCATCATCATCATCATCATCATCATCATCATCATCATCATCTATGGCTTTCACCCCTGGCAGGGTTTAAAAGGTATAGGCCACATACAAGCTCCTTCCATTTATCTCTGTCCTGAGCCATCCTTTCAAGCTCGTTCCAAGTGAGCTTCATCTCTTTCATGTCCCTTTCCACACATCTCCTCCATGTTTCCCGTGGCCTACCCCTGCCTCGTGCTCCCTGTGGGTTCCACTGCAGTGACTGTCTTGTGATGTTTCCGCTGGGCTTTCTTAAGGTGTGTCCCATCCATCGCCACTTTCTTAGTCCTATTTCTACTTCTATATCCTTTTGTCCTGTCCTTTCCCACTGCTCTTCATTTCTTATTCAATCCTGCCACTTAACTCTAAGAATACTCTTCATACATCTGTTGATGCAAGTCTGGACTTTATTCAGTACCGTCTTTGTTGTCTTCCAAGTTTCGCAGCCATAGAGGAGCACAGACTTGACGCTGGAGTTAAAGAGTCGAATCTTGAAGCGCAGTGAGATGTTGCTTGCTTTCCAGACTTTTGATGTGTTGAGATAAAACTCCTTTATTACTTATTTGGAAAATTAATTCTTCTTTCTGTGGGGTTATATAAAGAGTGTCATGGTTTGGGGTGGGTTCTTTTGGCTTTTGTTTGTCCTTGTCGGCTATCTTTGTCGAACTCGAAGTGATGAAGCATAGCTTTATTAACTCTTTGAACCCCATCGGATGCTGGGAGCGACCGGCGGTAATAACCCTGTTCCCCATCGGATGCTGGGAGCGACCGGCGGTGATAACCCTGTTCCCCATCGGATGCTGGGAGCGACCGGCGGTAATAACCCTGTTCCCCATCGGATGCTGGGAGCGACCGGCGGTAATAACCCTGTTCCCCATCGGATGCTGGGAGCGACCGGCGGTGATAACCCTGTTCCCCATTGGATGCTGGGAGCGACCGGCGGTGATAACCCTGTTCCCCATCAGACGCTTGGCGCATCCAGTACCAGTGACAACTCTTTCGTTTTATTTAGAGCTAGTTTTTGCTTGTTTTTTGGAACTATTCGCAAATCACGTTTTTTAGTAATGACTAAACCTTTGTTTCCGCTATTTAGAAGTTGGAGGCAAGTTTTGGGGGTTGAAATGAGACATAGTGAACTAGGTTTATGTGATTGCTGAAAAAACTCTGAGAAACGTTGGAAAAAAATTCAGGGCTTAAAGAGTTAACCTACCTTTGTCATGAGTATTTTCACTCCCAAATGACTTATAAAGTTTTTTGGTGTTTTTGTCTTTGATCCAGCCAAATTGACACGGCTGGATGTTTCTGACAACAAGATTCAAGATATTCCTTCGCCGAGCAACTGGAAATGTCCTCTTATTTTCTTGAACATGCACAACAATAATCTCGGAGCCACAAAGTCCCAGAATCAGCAGTCGAAAGTTTTGTCTGCGTAAGTATTTGGAATCCTGGTTTCTGTAATTGTGAGGCATTATGGTGGATCAGGCGCTCGTCAAAATAACGAAATCGGAGAACCAGGCATTTTTCTGCCAGTTAGGCAATTTTCATCAAAATTTTGGGTTTTTTTTGGCTCAACCCCTTTTTGTCCATATAAAAACATATTTCCACATGAATTTTACTGAAAAACGTTGATTAAAGGCACAAAATATGTCATTTTTCTGTTTTCAAGGACTCTTTGGTTTTGGAGTCAGGGGAGATATTTTGAGATAGTGTGGGTCTTCAGTTGAAAGGTCATGAACTATCAGTAACCTGTGTTTCTGGTGTAGTGGTTGGGTTTACTTGTTTACGTGTGTGAAGGACCAACATCACTGCACAAGGGGCATCCCCATAAGCGCTCCGTCCCCTGAAGAAGCACATCTCGAAGTGTGTAGATGCTGACGGTTCCAAGCAATAAGTGGTTAGTACTGGTTGGGTGCTTTGCCATGGCACGCAGAAGAACTTAGAGATGGACATGTTCCGACTGTAGAGACCCCAACACTGAGGACAAGGTGGGACAGGGTGTGACAGGGTGTGACAAGGTGGGACAGGGTGTGACAAGGTGTGACAAGGTGTGAGTAGTTGTGATGAGGTGTGACAAGGTGTTGTAACAAGGTGTTGTGACAAAATGTGACAAGGTATGACAAAGTGAGGTGGGAAAAGATGTGACAAGATGTGACAAAGTGTGACAAGGTGTGACAAGATGTGACAAAGTGTGATAAGGTGTTGTAACAAGATGTGACAAAGTGTGACAAGGTGTGACAAGGTGTGACAAAGTGTGAGTAGTTGTGATGAGGTGTGACAAGGTGTTGTAACAAGGTGTTGTGACAAGATGTGACAAGGTATGACAAAGTGTGACAAGATGTGACAAGGTGTGACAAGGTGTGATGAGGTGTGAAAAGATGTGACAAGGTGTGATAAAGTGTGACAAGGTGTGACAAAGTGTGACAAGGTGTGACAAGAGCCTAGATTGATTCTTGTGTAGAGGGAATTTTTATGGAGTATCTCAGCCTTTTTACTGGAACTTTGTGTCCCTCTCTGTAATGAATGAATGCTGCTATGAAATGTAAAAATGGGAATAAACTACGTTGCGAATGTTGAGATAACGATTCTTTTATATCTCAAGTATTTCCCCTTCTTGACACGTCACGTATTGTCTGTCTGAATTCACACGAGATCTTATTGTAAAAGAAACAACTATAAATCAGTTTTTCCGGCAGGTAGGCAAGAAAGAGGCTGTGTTTTCGTCTTCTTTGCAAGTTTTAATCTTTTTATAATGTGAGGGCATATGCAGCCCAGGGATGCCGAATCTCCAGTTTTTCCGAGTTTTTTCCTACACTTTCAAAGGAAAGGGGAATGGTAAGAGATATGTTTTTGTGTGCTCATTTAACGATTTTACAAGGTTCGTTTTAGGTGAGGTGTGATGTTCCGCTCATTTTCCGTTCAAAAAAAAAAAAATCATTTGGCATCCCTGGCAGCCGTCACATTCTCAGCCCGGGTCAGCCCGGGGCGGTAGGGTTGAAGCCCGCTTTTAAATTATCTAAATACCTATATTGTGTTGATGGGAGCGTAAATGTACCTGCTTAAAGAAAAATGTATTATTTTAACAGTGTTATACTGTCGCATTGTGACTGCTCTACTGATCATTTTCCGTTACCTTTTTGTCATAGAGAACAGCAGTAGTTCATTAGTCTTTCAACCTAACTTTTGCAACCTCAGTGCTTTCTTGTCGTATCTCCATTTTTTTAAACAGTGAAAACAGTTCGTAACAAAGAGTGAGCTTATAAAGAAGTCACATTTTCACTTTTTTTTAAAATACAGATTCGACAAGAAAACACTGAGGTCGCGATTTTCTGACGTGTGTGTG